TGCACACCCCACCGGGGGGCCGAGTAGCAGCGGGCCCCCAGATAAACCAGCAGTAGGGGGCACTGAAAAATTCACTCATCTAAATGAAAGAAATATTTTGTGTTCGTTAACGGAAATCGTGACAAAACCACAAAATATACAATAGATTAAAATGTGACAAAAATAGGGAYCRTACAACCCWGATCTGGTTACGAGCGAAGCTTTATTGCTTGAGCTGAAGCACTCGGAGCAATGCTGCTTGAAACCTGGAATTTCCGGTTCTTTTCTACGGTGTCTTCAGTGCCTGGCCCGCCCCCTACTGGCTTACGGCTGAATCGCAGGCACTCAGACAACGTTAGTCACCTACTGTATTATAAATCGTTTCTTATGTGTTGAAATAATGTTTCGGGCATGTATCTAAACTATTTTAATCAAGACATAACAATAGTTAAACACTGGATTATAAAAGTCAATACTTAAGAAGGAAAACTATGAATATAGTGTGGTGCTTCTAAATCAGTTYCTAACTAATAAATTCCTTCATAAATGTAAATGTAATGTTGTCCTCCCTTTTTCTACCTCAGTTTTATAATTTACCTCTGGGTTTTTATGTCCCCGCCTGCGCTCGGYGCAGGAAGACGAGCGTTAGATAATGTCCTCTTTCACATGAGAATAATGAAGAAATCAGAAGCGCTCTTTGCTGCTAATGAAACTTAGATTGGAGCCGTTCTTTCTTTTTTTCCTCCTGCCGTCTGCTTTGTCTGCATCGTTTTGTGCAAATGAAACCATTTAGCAGACGAGACGTCCGTGTTGTAAAACAGCTCACCTAATGAGACAATCTGATTGATTCCATTAATAAAAAGCAGAATATCCTAAACATTGTAAATTTTGTGACCAGTAAGAACCAAACTGTCCTCTTCACAGTGTTTTACACTTAAATACTGTTTGAACTAATAGTTAATATTATGAAATTTAGTTAAGTTTTAAAGTGTCTGTGATGTGCTTATTCTTCAAATACAAAAAGTTAAAGAAAACATCTTTATATTAAAAAAAATTGGCACAATACACACGATTTTACCTATTTTGTCACATAACTGGCATATTTTCGTCTGAACTTGGCTCAGCTAAAATGAAACAGGAAGTGACATCAAAAGGGAACTCTTTAAGAAAGAAAACGCTGGTCTTTCTTTTATTGAAACATTATTTTTTTGAACTTTTACTCTTCATCTCCCAGTGATAGTGACTCAAAAATATCGAAAGAAACATTAGATTCTTCTCTACTGTTTGTCTTGTTAGCTGTTGTAGCAACRCTCTGTTTACATGCAGACATTCCTCTTTGACATCATTTCCTGTTTCATCACATGCAAATATCTCAGCAAGTGTTCATCTCAATTGTTTTGTGATACGTTATCACTGTTATCTTTCCAAAAATGAATTCATATTTATTACAAAAAATATGTCACAGGCACTTCAATGTTTCTGTATAAACGGCATCCAGGCTGAGTTGTGGTGTACCACAGGGTTCTGTTTTAGGACCCATTCTCTTTATTCTCTATATTCTCCATCTTGGGCAGATAATCCAGCAATTCAGAAATGTGCAATTTCAGCTCTATGCTGATGATATTCAGCTCTACTGTTCATTTAAAGAAAGTGTTTCATAATTTAGAGTCCTTAAGAAATAGTTTACCTGTATTAAACAGTGCTGAAGCAACAATTACCTAAAACTGAAACTGACTATTACACTGCAAAATAATGTTCCTCAAATTAAACAGTTTCTTGGAGTTTTAGGTCCATCKGTTCAGTCCAGCCTCAGAGACCTGGTGTCATTTTTGTTTCTGCAATGAAAAAAGGAAATCACTGACTAGAACCTGTTAGTTTCCATCTCATGAACATCTCTAAACTGAAAAGTTTCTTGTTAAAATCTGAACTTAAAATTATCCTTAATGCATTTCTTTATTCTGGTTTGGACTACTATAACAATTTGTTCACGTGTTTAAAGAACGAGGAGCTGGAGCGTCTTCAGGTTGTCCAGAACTCAGCTGTGAGATCGTTAACTGACAGAAACAAACGAGCTTTTTTTAAAAGTTTATTCATTACATTTCATCTAAAAACAAATTTTACATACAAAAAATACAAATCAAAAATAAAATGAAAGGCAGCAGAAGGAAGAAAAAATCTTGTATCTGCCCCATTTTAAGAAGGAGATAAAATAAACAATACTAATAGTCAAAAAGAAAAAATCAGTAGGTCCTCTGGATGGGTTTTTCTTTTAGTGAAACATTTCGTCTCCTCTCCAAGAAACTTCTTCAGTCTGATGAGTTTCAGGTGAACTCAGCCTTATAAGCTCCGCCTCCACATGGACAAACAGGTTAGTCATATGCAACAGAGGGCCATCGCTTAACAATAGGCTTGATTAGTTCAATTGTTCATAGAGGGTCATGTGCCCCATCACCTGACTTATTGGTTTGGATGCTTGGCTGTGGTTATTTGGTGTTTTGTTATCTGTGTGTAGTGAGTGCAGGCGGGGGTTCAACGTCCCCTTGTTTTYGTCTCTCTACTAATAGTCTTTAACAAAAACATCATCAATAACAATTTTCCTAGAACAAAACATTTGTATGAGTACAGATTCTATTCCATATTTCTTCAATAAACCACCCGCTTTGGATGTTATCATCCATGAAATGGATGTTATTAGGTGTTATCAGTCCCCTAAAATGGCTTCAGAATGTCCCGCCTGTGCCGTTAGCAGGTTCCCCGTCCCATAGAATGGCTTCCGATTGGCAGCTGGTTAATATGAGACATAAAAAACTGGTTAATATGAGGCTTAAAGCCACTAAGGTTAACTTTAGAGCAAATGACATGGTTCGCGCTAAAGACACCGCCCTCCAAAGATTATATATTGTGACCTTCCAATAGGCTAATGGGTAGAGTGTTGGACCAAAAAGTGGGAGACCAGGGTTTGAGACCGACACGGACAGATTTATTACAATATATTTTGGTTATTTACACATTCATTGATATATTGACCCACTAGGGGGCACTGTCTGGACAGTCTGAAGCCTGGAAGGCACAGTAGGGACCCTCTGAAGCCATTGTATGGGACTGATAATGCCTAATAACGTCCATTTCATGGACTGAAAACATCAGAATCCCCTGAATAAACTAGGTTTAATCATTCTCTTAAACATAAACATCGATCTGGCATTTTTAACATCACTTTTCAAATTATTCCATAATTTTATTCCCTGAATTGACGGACATMGTTTCTTCAAACTGGTTCGAAATTTAAGTTTCGCAAACATCTCAAAAAGCTCTCTCTTTGAACAAAATTCAACAGGATGTTTAAAGGTAATGTGTTTTTATGAGCCTTATAAATAACCTGCAAAATACTATAATCAACCAACTCGTGAAATTTTAATAATTTAATAACAACAGTTCCTTTTAGAATTCATTTGAAACATTCTGGTTTGAACTTTCAGAGCCTCACAGGAACAAACTCCCTCTTCTGTCTCAGATTTGATCCAGCTTCAGTCAGTTTGAGGTCCTCGGGTCAGAGGTTGTTGGTGGTGCCTTTATTATTATTAAATTTATTTTATTTTTTCATGCTTTTATTGTGAAGCACTTTGTGATTTTATAAACGTTACTTGCTTGTTGCTTCAGGTTCCACTTGGATTAAGCAGCAGTTGTATYAAGTCGAGGGGCTGCAGAATGAGAGTAATTAGTTCCTAATGAAGAGGAGACTGAAGGACCTTTTTGTTTCTTCTTGTTCTAATAATAATCCTGTCAGAACTGAACAGAATGACAGCCTCTCTGCTGCTGTTTTATACACTTTACAGTCTGACTTTTCAGGGAAAAGCTAATATTTGACCAAGTTAAAAGTTTTCCTCGTTTGAAAGATTTCTGCAGACAAAGTAACCCCTCCCCCCTCAGGTAAATTCACCTGCATCGAGGCTCGCTTCCACCTGGAGCGTCAGATGGGCTACTACCTGATCCAGATGTACATCCCCTCACTGCTCATCGTCATCCTGTCCTGGGTCTCCTTCTGGATCAACATGGACGCGGCGCCGGCCCGGGTCGGTCTGGGCATCACCACGGTGCTGACCATGACCACGCAGAGCTCCGGGTCCAGAGCGTCGCTGCCCAAGGTGCCTGATCWTTACACACCTTCAACACACCGCTCAAACCTTTACTCAAATTTATCAAAAATACGAGTTTTTATTCTGGGTTCAAATGAACTAAACRCATTAACCTCTTGATCCCCATGAAAAATGGCATTTCTGTTTTCTATTTCTTTTAACTTCTATTAACTAAAGATCTGTCAGTTGAACCTGGACATGTTATCAACAGAAAGCTAAGAATCTTGGCTAAAAGCTCATGGAAACTGTTTTTACATCCAAACACAGTTCAAACGTCAAGCAGTTGAATCAGAAAGTAAACAACTGCACAAAATCATTGCAAATCGTTCGACTTCTTCAGTCTGATGAGTTTCAGTTGAAACTCAGCCTTATAAGCTCCGCCTCCACATGGACAAACAGGTTAGTCACATGCAAAATGGGGCCATCGCCTAACAATAGGCTTGATTAGCTTTATTGTTYGTAGAGGGTCATGTGCCCCATCACCTGACTTATTGGTTTGGATGCTAGGCTGTGGTTATTTGGTGTTTTGTTATCTGTATGTAGTGAGTGCAAGCGGGGGTTCAACGTCCCCCTGCATTTGCGGTCGTTGAACACATTTCAACTGATTCTTTCCCCCGCGTGTCTCCGCCCCCTGCAGGTGTCCTACGTTAAAGCCATCGACATCTGGATGGCGGTCTGTCTGCTGTTCGTCTTCTCGGCCCTGCTGGAGTACGCCGCCGTCAACTTCATCGCCCGCCAACACAAGGAGCTGCTGCGCTTCAGACGGAGGCGACGACACATGAAGGTGAGCCGCGCCTCCTCCTTTATTCTGACACGCCTGGACTGTACAGAGATTATATGTTTGCAGATTAAAATGGAGGCGTGTCTCAGTAAATAATCCAAACCCAGAGAATGTACAGCTCGTTGTGAGGATCCTCTGTTGTGTTGTTTTCTGAAACACAACGAGTTGGTTTGGTTTGTAAATAAAAACCTCCTCCATCCTGCGGCCTCCTGAAAAATTCAGGCCTCTCATCACGGCGCCGCAGAAACACCAGGAGTCAATGTTTTATAGACGGAGTGCCGATTGATGCTGGAGCTGCAGAACAAACCCAGAACCGTCGTCATAACGGATTCATGATGCAAAATAAACACGACTAAAACCGTCCTGAGAGCTTGTTGAAATGCAACTTTCATCGAAAGCAGCGGTGAGGGGCCGCTCGCTTTGTGGGGGGGTTTAAAGTGGAGTTGTGGGTTTCAATCCCAAAATAACAGCACTGACCAATTCAGCAAGTTCTTCACTCAAATATTAGCTTTAATTTGTAGGAAATGCTTTCATTTAACCTTTGAATTAATTGTGAATGAATTAGCTTTAAAGACTGAAAATAATGAATTTTTTAAATGTTTTTTTACTAACTCACCTCACAAAAAGTACGAGAGTATTATAGTTACTGAAAAAAAATAAGAATTCAGACTTTAATCTCAGTATTTTAGTGTTCTGTACCAGTTTCTTAGAATTATAAAAAGTTACAATTCTGAGAAAAATGTCAGAATTATAACTTTTTTCTCATAATTAGGAAGAATTCAAAATTCTGAAAAAAAAATTCTGACTTTAATCTCAGACTTTTTTCTCAGTATTTCAAGAT